CTGAATTTATTTGCTTGTGACAATGTTTTCATAACCTTAATCTGGGACAATTGTGTCAATTACAACTCAACGAACACTTCGATTTCGGAAGCAAAGGATTATGTTCGTCCAAAGCGTTTATTTTTGGACTATTCCCTTCCTGCTCCAACAAACGGGTAATAAAAAGAAAAATGTATACCGATACAGGTGCCTTGGCACCTGTATAAATATAACGATTAGCAGTAAAAATAATATATATTAATTTTTTTTCAATTATGTTCGATTGATTGATTTGAATTAATATTCATAAATTTTTTGCCAGTGAAAAGTAACAATATGTTAATGAGTGTACCTGCCTATTGATAATAATCCATATATGAATATTTAAATGACTTAAGCTCGCACATAATCAATTATACATGGTGTTCGTGAAAACAGGAATTAGTTCTGAAACAAGTTTGCGATATTATAAAGCATATCTGTTTGATTTACGAATACTGAATTTTTTAGTTTTTTTGTTATACGTTTATAGTTCTATCTATTTTAGAATACTTTAATGTTAGACTGATGTTTTAAATTTCAAAGTTGCATTTATTTTGGAGAAGCCGATCTGAAAACCTGAATAGCGACTGCCTTAGAAGAAACGTATTTCTTGGCATTCTTATAGTGTGAAAATTAAGATTACCGTTTCTTGCTACCGCTTCTCATTTTCCGATATTTATTTTCATTAAGATTATCTGTTAAAGTACGGTTTCGTAGTACCGTTACATTGGCATTTTTCCACCATTTGCATATGTTTAACTGCAACATGTATCGCGTTATACCAGTAGCGGCTTGAGAATGTCTCAATAAACGGAATATTCGTTTACATTTTATAAGCGCAATATTTGTGATAATCAACATATACAGGATGTTTTTGAAATAAGTGCGTTCCTTGAACAGGGTGGTAGATGACACGAAAATGAGCAACTTTTATTAAGCAACTGATAGTCTAAATGCTTCTGTTTTCGAGAAAATTAACCATAAATGTAAACCGACCCTGTGCATCTTGTGCACGTGCGTTGTGTGTTGCAGTATTACTAGTCAGTGTATAAAACTAACAGTACCGTGTGGTGTGGACTACGGGAACAACCCCTATCATGTACAAAAGGTTCAGGCATTAAATAACAATGATTCTCAGCCACGTGCGGAATTTTGCCAGTAGTTTTGAGATCAAATAGCACAAGATCCGGATTTTACAAGCAAAGTGCTTTTTACGGATGAATATTGTTTTACTAGAGCAACGGTTTTCATTGAATGTGAGGTGTGGTGTTTTTGGTAACAGAATTTTGTCCGTCGTTTGGAAGCATGTTTATTAGCACATGGAAACAATTTTGAACAATTTTTGTATAGCATATTGTCTATTGTAAAGAAATTCGTTTAATTTTTGTGTTACTTTTAAACGAGATTTGAATAGATTTCAGCATCAGTTGCTTGATAAAAGTTGCTTGTTTATTTCAAAAACACCGTGTATGGAAAACATTTTTAATTGCTTATCTTCTTCTGTTTGACCCTAAAAGTGTTAAAATTATTTTTTTGTCCTGTATTACGATAGGACCTATAGCAAAAATTATTTTTTTTTATTTTAATTTAATGTCCAACATATCGAACTGATTTTAATTTTTTACATACCTAACAATAAAAAATTTCGAAAGTAACCTTAATTTTTCGGCAAGGTATTTTATTACTTTTTTGATGTTCTGATTAAAGAACAGAAAAACTACTATGCTTTTAAAAAAATTGTAGTAAAATGCAACACGATTTCTTAAGTAGGTACAGTTGCAAAAATTCAATATCACTAGAAAATCCAGTATTGTAATTAATAACAATTACAAATTAAGTAACTGATTGATTTTCCAAAAAATTCAGTGGCGCAGAAATTTTAGGTTTTTCAGTGACTACCTTCTAGTATCTCCGCCGCTGGTTAACACATCTGTATACCCATTCAGCGAATTGTTACCTTTAATCAGTTAAACCATGGCGTAAATATTTACGCCGTGAGTTAAACCATTTTGGGACATATTTGGAAATGGATGGTATTTTCCTTAAATTGTCATCACTCTGTATCTCGAAAACCAGCAACTTTAGACCTTTGACTCATTATGGCTTTTTATATGCGTCTGAAGTTATGACATGGATTTCAAAAATACCTTTCATTAAAATCACCGTTTGGGAATTATTCAAATTTTTCGAATTTTTTTTAATGTTTCAAGAACGCATAATGGCAATTTCACAAAATTTGGTGCAATAGTACCTACATTTTATACTCACAAACCGATGCTAATAATTCTTCATTCTAATTTAAGAATGTCGTAGATGAGATCAGTATTTTTTTTTTAAAGTTACCTCTACGCCTATGACTTTTTAAATATTTATTTATACTTGTCCTTCAAACAATACATTTTCGAAAAAAGCTACTCGTCTGCTCAAATTTACGCAAGTTCCTAGATATTAATTTGGGGTAGAACGAAAATAATGACTGCATGTTTACCTGATTTACAGCAAAACCTACAGTTTTCCAAAAAAATAATCAAAGTCGTAATACAAAGAAATAACTATATGAACAGGTTTAATATACAAAATCAACAAATAAACATAAATGAAATCCAATTAACATTGAAACATTGAAAATTAGATTTAGTTTTCGAAGTGTCGGTCTTCAAAATGCAAACATAACCACACTTTTGTTCGTAAAGAAACTATCTTTTGTTATTTTAAAATTGTTTTTTCGATTTGATTTACAACTTAACCTAAACCTAATTTATACAGGGTGATTTAGTTATAATATCATTAATTTTAAGAGAAGATAGGGAAAAATGATTAGAATACAAATACGTGATTAAAACAATTTTAAAATACATATTTACCCTGAAAAAAAAATATTTTCAGTCATTATTTAAACCCCTTATCGGATTGCTACTGACCGCTGACCTACAAAGGTATATCCAGAGTGAATCTTGACCTACCGTATTCGGTCATTAACCTAGCTTTTACTACGTTTTAATACTGACCGGCAAAAACAGATCTTGCCTAGACAAATGAATGAATAAGATATTTTTATACATTTTAAATATTAACAAGTATTATTTATTTGTTAATAAAAACAAATGCATAAGGATAATGTTTCGAGTGTTAGGTTATACAATATAGTATTTTTAATATTGTTATCGTTTTCACCACTTTTTATAATTGAATATGAGTTTTTAGTATTACCTATATACAATTAATTATTCAGTTTGTAGTACGTATAACTTATTATCTGACTTATTGCTTTTGAAAGAGTAATATGCTATTTAAAATGACAGTATGGCTAAAAAAACGATAAAGTTGGGATTCACCGCACTTTGATTTTGAAACCAATTGCAAAACTGGACGAGACAAGACGACTGGGAATCAGCTGTTTCGGTTCAACGTTCGAAAGCTTTGTACTCCGCCGTTCGCCGCGTTCTCTATTTCGAAATAAGGCGCCGAGTTAACGGGAGTTAAGAGTAATTTGCTAATTTTTTTAAAAGGCCAAGAAAAATTTATTTTTCTGTTTTTATTAGTCCTTCCGGTTAAAATTAATGACATTATAACAGAATCTGAGTATCTATAGTATAGTACTACCAAAGAAAAACTAAATGAATCAAAGACTTTCGGTAATGATGTGACCAGACTAGTAGATATGTCAAATCGTCTGGAATCTCAAACCTTCTATCTTGAATAATAGCTTGAAACTTGTGTCAAAGTCATGGGCGTCGTTAACTCGGAATCCAAGGAGGACGAATTTAAAATATCAGAATAGAAAATCTCCTTTTAGGTAGTAACAAAACATACAATTTATATTACGCCAGCCCATTGAATAATGCAGATATTTCAACTACACATATTGTTTGGCTGTCAGCTGACCCTTCAATTGGCGATTTTATACTTAAACTACACCAGAAAACACTAAACTCTCTTGAGACCTAAATAAAGAAAATCTTCTTCCGCCACTGTTTTGTCCCTTAGAGATCCTATCGGGAATATACAGGTATTAGTATCGCTAATGCATCTCGTGTTAACCCACAGAAGTGGACGCATCGACACTACCGACACAGGAGCCGATAAAGCAAAGTGTGACAGGACATACATTATCAATTACTCATATCTGTCCGATCTTTATTACACCACTAAACCGGTAAACACTGCTCCTCGTTTCGCCTCCGCGGGTTCAGCATCAATACGCCGCTAATAAAGTATTCACGATTAATTTCGCTGTGAAGTCTCAATAAATCGGACGAATCGACGGTGTGGGTTTTATCGCGCCAAAAATACGCGTCAGGAGGTCGTAAACCGATTATAATCAATGATTTCAAATGATATTCAGATATCACATCCTGATAATTGATGGTAAATATACAGGGTGCATGGAAATTTGAAGTCGAAATGATACCATTCAAGTTCCTGATCCCCAACGTGAATCGCCAGATATTGTTCGAGATGCTCGTCCTTGGCTTAACCACACTAATCAAGACTATCAACTAGATATGTAGCAAGTACAAAGAGACAACACGCAAATATTTTTTCTTTTGTATTTTGTTACACTGAAATCGAATCTGTAGTCTATTAGCTGTATCCCCCCACAGATTTTGCAAAAAAAAAACGAAAAAAATAGCTGAAAATGGCAAAAAATAGTATTAATGAGAATGAGAAAACTCTTATGGGATAGCAGGGATAGGAAAAATCACTACGTTCAGAAAAAGTAGCCAACAAGAAAGGAGTTTCATACAGGGTCGAGGAACATCATACATAGACCATTGATTGAGCCTTCAAAAATTCTACTACCACCACTTCATATCAAGCTTGGTCTCATGAAGCAGTTTGTCAAAGCTCTGATCAAAGACGATGACTGTTTTCAATATTTAGGAGAGAAGTTTCCAGAGATGTGAAATGATTCGAAATTGCAAGGTGTTTTTGATGGTCCTCAAATTCATAATTTTTTTCGAAATTTCATTACAAAGATGAATGACACTGAAAAAGCAGCATGGCAAAGTTTCAACTTGACTACTTTCCTCAAAACCTTGGAGACTACAGTGAAGAAAGAACAAGGAGAAAGATTCCATGAAGATGTAAGTGAAATGGAGGATCGATGCCAAGGAAGATGGGATATCAACATGATGGCAGATTTCTGTTGGACACGAAAGAGAGAAACGAATCAGAATAGAAGAGAAAGAGAAACCCGCTGAATAGGTCATTCGAAGAGAAAAGAGTTCGCTACAAGAGAAGAAAAATGTAAGAGTAACATCAAAGAAAGTCTGACTCAAGTCAGTCAAATTTATTTGGAAGTAATTCATATTCAAGATTTTTTGGAATTCACGATTTCCAATTTTTTTTCGCAATATTTTGCGGCTTAGAAAATATTTGGTTAATGAGGCTCAACAGACTCTAGATTCAAATTCGCCTCGATAAATTTTATGAGAATAACACTTGATCCAATCTAGAAAAACCTCTTTCTAAATTTTCTTACTCGTTAATATGATTTTTTGCTCATTTTTTGCTTTTTTGCAAAATCTGTGGTACTACAAGTTGTATACAGGTAATAGACTTCTGACTCGAATTCAGCGCATTAAAATATATAAGAGACACACTTGATGAAGGTCAGAAAAACGTGATTTTTGGAGATTTTTCCCTATTTCTGGTAATTTTTCACTACTATTTTGCGATTTTTGCAAAATTTGGGGAAGATGTGGCTTAAAAGACTTCAAATTTGGATTCAGCACCTCAAAATACATTAGAAATCCACTCGATCGAGTTCCGAACAAATATTTTCGAATATTTTTGGGTTCACTATAGTGATTTTCGGCGATTTTTCACTATTTTTTGCCAATGACTCAATATTTTGGCCGTGTTTGAGCTAAACAGACTTCATATTTTCAGGACGTCAAAATACATAAAGCCTATGGGTTCAAATCAATAGTACAGACCACTTTCTTTTTCGTGTGCCGATGTTATTAGTTTGGCGCCCAAAGCAAATATTTTAAACAGATGCTGCCGCGCTAATTCGTGACATCATTTAGTGCGATCGCTATTCAAGAAGATGAGTGACAGGAATAGGACGGCCCAACAGTATGAGACTAGTAAGTGACAAAAGTCACTTTGCTTCGAGGTTTCCCATCGTGCGCGTTTTTTTTAGATGAGGTCCCATCTCGTCGACATGGGAATTGTAAACAGCAGACGGCCGAAAAGCAGGTTGTGTTTTCGGTCGCACTAAGTGACGTTACAATGCGTTCTTAATCGCGGGAAAGATTTAAAATTTTACATAATTTCGGACATGTAGATATAATTAATTTGTAGCATTAAAAAATATATTTTTATTAACCACTGTTATTTGTAGGCTAGAGTCTTATAAGGAATATCAGTTTTAAATGCTTCTATTTATAAATCTTCACAAATCTGAACGAAAATAATTTCAAAATATGAATTCTGTGTTATAAAAATGTAATGTATATTTATACATGTCTCGTCTACAAGTATTTCTATTTAAAAACACGTTAGAATCACGTACAATCAACAGGCTATAGGAAACGCTGTAATAAACTTTATCAACTCGTACGATCTCCGGGAACGTTCAGCGTCGCGGCGCCTAAACCTTCTCAGACCTCTGTTCTCCTGATCGCTTGGACGCTGCGCGCGTGAAAGTTGGGAAATTTTCAGGCCTGGTACAGTTTTCGCGCAACATCCGAGCCCCACTGAACCAGCGCGCTGAAACGGCTTCAGGAGCGGGCAAGCTGAAACGAAATGGCGTATGCGCCGTCTTGTCTGCCGGCTTCTGACAAGCGCCGCGGTGCTTACAAAAGGATCTATTAAATAATAATAATCACAATAATGATAATAAATATTGTCTGTAATTATAAAAATGAAGTAGAATTTGTTAAAAATTTGTTATTATATATTCATTAATAGGGAAGATTCATTGATAAATCTATTAAAAATAAAAGTTATGAAAACAACAGCATAATATTTTATACCTAAGTAATAAAAATTTTGTACTGAAAAAACTAAAAATAATTCATAATAGGTTTAATATAAGGACTATTTTATTATAAACTCGAACGAAAAATTAAATTCAGAATAAAAAACTCTATTTGACGATTTATCTGTTTCCAAGTTATCTGTAAGTTTAGACTAGCATATAAATTATCACTAGTTTGCAGTTTATTTCATAGTTTTTAACCGTAACGGTCCTAAATCTGTCGATATAACTCTGTTTAAGCCCAGGTAATGGAATAACACATAAATTTTAGGTAAAATAACTCCGTAAAATGAAAGCGCTCGACTATTTTATTGAATAATATTAAATGTGCTTCCACTTATAGGCAAACGGTTCACCCCTAAAGAAAATGCATGAACCGACTAAATTTTTAAAACAAAAACCTACAGCATGACACTTTTTTTATTTTATAAAATGTATTTTTCTGATACTTTACATTTTTTATATATTTTTCAACGTGGTCAATCAAACATAAACAAAAAAGTTGTAAGTAAAAGTTACTCGTCGAATGGCTTTGAAAACAGTTGTAAACTGTAAACTGTAAAATGGACCAAAATAAACACTTTTTGTTCTTTGTCAAAAATTCAAGAAATGCTTCGTTTCCGAGATATTTATAATTTAATGTGAAAAAAGTGACGAAATTGACAAACTTTCTGAATTTTTTTCTCAAAACCTACTGAACAGATTTTAATTCTAAAAAAGCATAATAATCGGCAGATTTTCTACTTTAAGATATATTTTTTTGGTATGGGTCAATCATCATTTTATTGAAGGTGTAAAGCGAGTAAAAAAAGTCTTTTAAAGAAAATTATGATAACACTTCAAATTTAAATTTTCTTTTTACAATATCTTGGATTAGATTATATTTACAATAAACATTATTATGATTTTTTTTAATCGATATATGTTAACAGTACAAATGTTCAAATGATCATTTTGTTTGGTTTTGTAGCCGGAGTAAGGTTTTTGCAAGTAATTAGTAAAATTTAAATTTTTGATTTTGGTTTTATAAATGGCTAAAATTGACTTGAAAGATACCAAAACTAAACTAAATAAGCTTTTTAAATCGTAAAATTAACCTAATAATAATAATTGACCTAGCGGTCTCGAAAAATAAAAAAGTTATTGGATAATTTATTGTATAGGATAATTATTTTATTTTTATTTTACAAAAATATTAAGAGCAATAAAAGTATATTAATTTCTTTTTTATTTAATTTTTAAATAATAAGTTTTTCGTTATTTTCGACAAGTTCTTATATTGAAATAAGCGTTTCATCATCAATTTCCGATGGAACATTCTGACATTCATCTGAGCACGCACAGACTACACAACATTCCAGGTTCGATGACAGACAGTTACAATTTTTCGTAGAACATTTTCTATTACACGAACAAACATATTTTTGAAGCATATCTAACGCAGTTTCCCCTTCGAAATAATTAAAATCCAAACAACCATTTTCGATTTTCCATCCATGTGTAAATGGATCTAGAGTTACAATTTCACTATTTGTCATTTTGATTTTCTTTAAAATACTGTTTTTTTACTCGCTTTAAACCTTCAATAAAATAATTGACCTAAACCCAAAAAATATATCTTAAAGTAGAAGATCTGCCGATTATTATGCTTTTTTAGAATTAAATTCTGTTCAGTAGTTTTTGAGAAAAAAAATCCGAAAATTTGTCGATTTCGTCACTTTTTTCACATTAAATTGTAAATATCTCAGAAACGAAACATTTTTCGAATTTTTGTCGAAGAACAAAAAGTGTTTATTTTGGTTCATTTTATAAAACTGTTAATTTTTTTATAACAATTGACTGACCACGCCGAAAAAATATAAAAAAATATGTAAATTATCAGAAAAATACACTTTATAAAATAAACAAAGTTTCATGCTGTAGGTTTTTGTTTTAAAAATTTAGTCGGTTACCTTCATTTAGAAGCATCTTTTTAGGGGTGAACCGCTCGCCTATTATTCTCTGGCAATTGCAGGCTGAACATCTTCAAGAATGAAATCAATTATCTAGTAATAAAATAATTACTTTGTACATTTGAAAGCTAGGTAAATAGATTTAAAAACTGTCACATTTGATTTTCAGTTATCCTAATTAAATGTTGTAAGAATGAAAATAAAAACCGTCGATGGAAAGATTTTAGTTTTACGTCATAATAGTGGGTCAAAGTGAAATAGAATAGAACAGAAAAAATGTCCCCATGTCCATCTTCAGCATGTAACGTTTATACATTTTGACAATTAAACGGATGTAACATTACTAACAGTTGTAAATAAAGTAAATAAATGCATTTTTTATTTAGCACTTTAACGCTAAGTGTCAAATGAATAAATAAAATGATTATTATAGCCACCATATTTTTATTTATCAGGCTACTTTGATTGAATATGAAATAATATATTTAAAATGCTTGTAACTCCTAAAAAAAAAACGAATCGGACCAATGGTCATATAAAAATAATCTATGAAACTAACCATCTATCAAAGTTGGTCATAGAGCTTGTAGAACACCCCGTATAGCAAATTTGTGTCATGCTTACACGTCTCCAGGCATTTAGATTTGAATCGCTTCAGCCGTTTTTTTTTATAAATTATGAAATCGAATCTTAGGAACATTTTTTATTAATTTGTGACTAAATAAATTAATAAAATTTGGCCAAATATTTTAGTTACACCTTGTATAATGTCTAGTAAAATCAGGAGCAAAATAAAATAAGACCTACACTAAAATAACAAATGACTGACAATGACTAATATAGGGGGTTGTTTTAAACAATTTAAAATATTTTTCCATAATTTGCTTTTCTCTTCAGTACGGTAATGATTCTTAATTAAATAAAAAAACAATACTAAAATATGTATTATTAAATCGTCTCTAAAAAAATGTAATTTATATTGGTAGTTTTCAAAAACTGATAGCTTTTAGAAGTTGATACATTTTTAAATATTTTATGAGTACAAAATCTTATATGTTAGTTCACGCGTCTTTCAATTTGCCGTATTTTTCACTTATGTGTACGGGACAATGACTAGCCGATACGGTGGGAAAAAATCCTAAAC